GTTTTTCGAGAGACTCACCTTGAACCGAGCTGAATCTCCCGTTTGTGATGTTTCCAGGTTTGAAGTAGAACATCAGATTGACGAAAACTCGGGGACTCCGCCTACCTGATGAGCCCCCAGAAGGTCGAAACCGGTCGTGGGCTGTCGACGAATTTTCAGTAACCTTATGAGTAGTGCATTACAAACAGGCTTGTCAGTCTGTTAAAATCACTCAGGAGAGGCGCTGCCTGAAAGACAGTTTTGATTTCGTCAAAGTCTGAAGTTTGATGAACACTCTACATTCTCATTGGATGACGAGTAATTGTTTACTAATGTACCTCTCATCGAGACAAAAGACTATATTTGTGACCTGACTGAGTGCATCGGTAAGGATAGCTGCATTTCGGAACTACTGCTACCCTTTCAACTTACTTTCAACAATTAATTTTTAACTGTGCAAGGACGCAATCGTGGCAAGGTCCCCCTTTGGGCCCCCTGTTGGCAGATTTTCTCATGACCCAACCCGAGAATCAAAAAGTAAACGCAGTCTTTGCATGGTTCATATTGGATTGTCGCTACTTGGGCAACATCTTCCTACTTGCCGACGAAACTATCGGCTCAGCGAATGTGTTAAGAAGTTCCCTTTCAGTACATACTAATATCAAGGCTACTATCGATCCAGGACAGAACGGACAGTTGATTTACTTGGGTATCAGCATTGAAAAGCGCAAAGTTCACAAAAAACAAACCTGGAAATGCCAGTATAGTCACTTTGACAGTTTTTCTCCGTCGCAGCAGAAACGTAACCTTATTAGATTCTTGACTGAGATGTACTCCCTCGATTGCTTATTAGAGTACAAAAGTTATTTGGATCCACAGTCCTGCACAGCGGATATTCTGAACGGTTTTTACTCTGTAAAGCCAAAGCCCACACAATTTTCAGTTGAAAGGAGCCTGTCCACGTGGGGCCTCCATTTAAAGTTGACTCGGTTACCTAACTAGTTACAGGAAGGCTTAGAACACCATGCTTGGCTATCGATCTGACCTTGAGGTTCAATTCCAGGCCCATTACTAGAGGCGAGATGGTCCAAGTGGTTAGAGTGCGAATTTACTGACCGGCAGTTCCGTGGTTCGAACCTGACCTCTGCCTCTCGACTTCCCCTGTCTAGGCCTGGGCAACCTGGCAGTATCCCAGCCCTCGTGTGACCTTCGGGTGGCATTAGGACTAGGCACCGAAAGGGTGTTACGGCTGAACGACTTTTACTTTACTCTACCATTACCAGGTTCCGTTTGAAGGATAAATTTTCATGTTCTGCACCCAGTTTTTATTTGTGCTCATTAGTATGCTCTTTGTTGGTCGTACGACAAGGCATTTGTCAGACAGAATGCATCACATATGGCTGAAACCAATCATGTCACCGACAAGGCTCAAGTCTTGGATATCACATACCGACTGGTATGATCCAGACTACCAGAGATCGCAGGGGCAATTGAAATCCGACTTCTGGATCCACAACGTTGCGTCCAGAGGAGACTTGTGCGACCTCTGGTCTGCGGAAAAATCCAACCTCACAAACCCGTCTGACACTGACGTCACTTGCTTGATTTTGTGACCCATTGACCTATCTCTCTCATTCAACCTCGCTCCCTTTTCTCTTTCACTAAAAATGTACATACTTCCGACCTCCACATAACCTTTTTCACGTGACTCCAAGAGGAACAATCAAGAAAAAATGAGCTTTGTTCGCTGCTTTTTTCTTCTCAGAACTTGAATGAGTTCTGTGCTGGTCCAAGACGTGCAAGTTTTTCAAACGCGAGTCGTACTTTGGCACGCGCTAGAGAATCATCCGCGTTGCAGTCAACTCCACGCACTACTTTTGTGATCAGTAAACTGTTGAGGTCTTGAAACAATTCAGATATTGGACCCAGTTCGACTGGGAAGCGGGCGGCTTTTCTGCAACACGTAGGCGGTGGAATATCCTTTGCCGGCAAGAAGAACACTTAAAACTAATGGCCGTTGCAGGTGGCCTTTCTACTAAAGATCGTCGCATTATCTCACAGCGTGAAATTTCATCCCAGTTCTCTCATTCAAGAATATTGCTTGCAGAGAGAGTATACTATTTAACTGTTCACTATTCTGACGTTTCTGGTTTCATCACAGTATTTTACCTTAAATTTTTAGCCATTCCAAACGTTGCCGTGCTATTTCCCCTTGATCCTGAAGGCCAATTTTCAAATTTAAAAAAGTAATCGATATCAATGAGCAAGGGGTGAAGGGTTACTTTAGTTGCTTTGGTTTCAATTAGTCTATTCCGCTGGAAATTTAGGAATATTACTTTCGCCGGTGGATGTGTGGTTTTATCTTGGATGTTAAAATGCATCGCTGTGGTTTATGACTTCCGAACTTCTCTATGCGAGAGTATGAACCGAAACGGCCAAATCAAATACTGGCTACTCGCTAGTTTTACGGCAATTTTCTCTTCAGACATTCCAGCATGTGGTAGTTCTTTCTTGATGGCAAACACGTATGGATTGATTTTTACGTTTTGTGCACATCCTGCCCACCACTGTCAATACACCTGTGTCGGACTGCCGCCTCGAAAGTATATCCGTCAGTCGATCAGAGTGCGTGGTGTTTTGAACCGACGTTTTCTAACCCCTCCTTCTTTGGGGATTAATAGCATTGCTACTTCTATAAACATGACGATTTTTGTCGCTTGGTGAAAAAATCCATGTACCAACTGAAACATGAGGCGGCCTTTGTGAAGAACATCACAAACGAGAATTCACTCGAGTCTCCCGTGGAAACCAAACTGATTTGCAAATGAGTGTATTTGTCGAAATGCACGTTATCTTTCGTAGTCATCACGAAACACGAGCGCAATCAGCGGGAGGGTCACGTGCTCACCACTAAGTTGCGGCCAACAGGTGAACGAACTTAGCTGCTTATAAAGAACATCACCATGATTCATTGAAGTCGATTTGTCTGTGGCGATCGCTTGCATGTTAAAAGCGGAATTCTAGTGAATTCACATAAACGAACTTTGTGGCAACTAACTTCGATCTACCTCCGTAAACAATACGCCACATAAGTTCATGCTTAACAGTTTATTCGGTTGGCATATAGAGTGACTCTTCTTCGGCTCTGTTTCAAGGGGATCAGGCGGTCCTCATAGAATCCTCTGTCGCTGCCCCCAACAACCGACGATTCGTGGCAAGATCGGCGCGGTGTCAGCCGGTATTTTTTTTTATCGATAGAGCAGATCAACCTCGACCCTCACATTTGATCTCTAAGCTACTATCTTATCCATCAGCCTCATCCGGTTAACAGCACCTTTGTGCCAGACTTGAGCAGCGCCTGAACGACTCTACGTAGACGTCGTCGGTGAACGACCTTGGAGAGAAACAGCATGTTTCAGTGGATTTGCTTGCCATTTCTCAGGCTATTCAACCTTCGGTGTGCACCAAAACATCAGCAAACATGTTTTTTTAGCTTAAAACGATTGCCAAATTAAACTTTCACACATACATGGTGGTGTTGGTTGGATGGCTGCCTTGTGTACACGAAACTTAAAAAACCGTTCAGCTGTAGCACCCTTTCGGTACCTAGCTGCCATGCCGCCCGAAGGAAGCACGAGGGCTGGGATACTGCCAGGCCGCCCAAGCCTAGACAGGGGAAGTCGAGATGCAGAGGTCGGGTTCGGACCACGGAACTTCCGGTTAGTAAATTCGCGCTCTAACCACTTGGACTATCTCGCCCCCCGACACGAAAATCATGGGGCTGATTTGTCAGCGTCCGCGTGGAATAATGCCCAACAACTGCTTAACTATTTCGGTGATATCCACCTTCGCTCCACCGCTTTATAAATTTGTGCTTTTAACTCATCTTAAGTTAAGTTGGATGGTTGCTTGAAGATTGACAGGCGATGGTCTCACGCGTTTATCTAGGCTTTAGTAAATTTGCAATCCCTGTCTAAAAAGAAACACGTATTGGCTGTTGTAGCTAGCACTGTTGGGCGGCTATTGACGACAAGGGAGTCACATGAATAGGCTGCGCTGAAAACGCAACCCCCTGAATGTCCACTCAATCAAGAAGTTGAACAGCATTGGTGAGCGAGGGCACACTTGTTGCACATTAGATTTCAGGTCGAACTCAGTTGTCGTGCGAGTAGTTATCCTTAAGGACCCGATCGACTGTCGAAACTTACTTCAATTTAGTCTGGTTCTGGGCCATTGATAGCCTTTTAGTCATCTCTAGTGAGGTTGATTCATCGATTCAATGCTCTGTCGCTTGCCTATATGCCATTCCTGGACCGTTTTAGTGGTCCTGGTGGGTGCTTCTCAAAAGAACCCCCTTTCTCGGAATTCCAAAGGCCTAATCTCACAGTACTGACGCATGTAAAGCGAATGTGAATTCTTCCCAGGCTAAGGAATATACCGCTATTCTAGGCTTATTTTTGTCTACTCGTTAGTTTCGAATGAATTATCCATGAAATCTCAGTAAACTAGCGGCATTCACGTGAATATCCGGCCAGTTTGAACTTGTCTATTAGTCTCACTATAAATCTAGGTAACATGAAGGTGGTCTCGAATCACCCTGGCTTCCAAGTTGTTCCAACAAGGGGCTTTTTTTCTGACGGACAACTTACTCCTAAAATGAGGTCTACCAAGAGTTATTCAGTCTGAGACAAGTTTAGTTCAGATCCATAATCTATGGGAACCAGAAATTGCTGTCTACGGTGAACTTAGAGAGATCGGTGTTGTATCGTGGGTGGCCGTCTATGGGTTACGCCTGCACTGAGCCTGCCAGACTACGCGATAAGGAGAAGACAGAGAACTCGGGACACGGCTGTATTGTCAGGACAAAACATACAGAGCTTCTGCGTAAATATATAGGATGACTAAATGGCCACATATGGTCGTTCACTTGTTCGTTCGGTACAGCCAATGGTTGTGTTCCGGTCGTGAACAATTTCATCCCCACTCTGCTAAGCCGTGTTTGGTGGGCTCTGCCAACGCACCTGCTTTCCGAACGTGCCGTACCGATAGTAATCTTGGGAATGCGTCATTCTCTGCACATGTACCTTTTTAACGTCTGGGCGCATCCTGACGACAAACCGAGATCTTGTTCCGAACCCTGATCTGTTTAGCCGCTATTTGTCAACCATCTACTCAAAGACATTCCATCATTAAAAACTCGTCTGATCCGTGCTCTCTAGTTGGCTACTATCAGGGGAAGCACACCAATGTATGATGTTTGATTCTTGAGTGAATGCATGCATTGCAAAGGTAGGCACGGTATGAGGAACGGGCACGAGTGCCCACCTTGGTTGGAAAGACGCAATAAAGTCGCTCTAAGTTTAAGCAGCTCTTGTGAAAATGGTTGAACTAATTCTCAGAGGAGATGGAATGAATAAACAAGAAGGACAATTGATTGGGAGATGGGTCGTTCGAAGAATATTTGCTAACCTTGTCGGATCTTTTTCACTTCAGCTTTGTGAAAGCGCATCTGCAAGTTTCGTTAGTGAAACGCAGGCGACAAAAGACTGTCTTATTGCACCAAATCTATTCAGCTCAAGACACAGGCCTTCCAAAATTTAGCTGTATCACACTTTCGGTGCCTAACTGCCACGCCACCCAAAGGCTGCACGAGGGCTGGGATACTGTCAGGTTGCCCAAGCCTAGACAGGGGAATTCGAGAGGCAGAGGTCGGTTTCGTACCATGGACCTTCCGGTCACTAGATTCGTGTTATAACCACTTGAGCTATCTCGACCCGGAAAGGAAATCTAAGCTGATAGGGAATCGCTATCTGTCACAGGTATCCGCGTAGAATATTCCTCTGTCAAATTTCCTCAGTTTTGTTGTATGCTGAGATAGATGATCCACAATAATTGGAGTCCTTCTAGAGAGGTACAACAGCTAGCCAACTGATTCATCCGTCAGTGTTCGTTGGAAATGAATTCAAGGGATCTGTCCCAAAAAACCATTGTGTTTAACCGCAAATGTGGGAGTGCTAAGAGCCAACTTTGTCTTTCCTGCAAATGAGATTCGGGTTAATTATTCAAGATTACTTGAGGCATGACCAATGCACACAACGATACCGTGAAAACAACCGCCATTTCCTTCGTGATGTACTACTCATAAGGTTGCCGAAAATCCGTCGACAGCCCACGACCGGTTTCGCCCTTTTTGGGTCTCATCAGGTTGGCACAGTCCCCGCGTTTCCGTCAACCTCATGTTCTACTTGAAACCAAATTGCACGCCATTTCCGTTACAGACTAGAGGGTTGTGTCACCTCTCTGATGAACACCAATGTCTCCTATGTTGGCAAATGGTGTATCTTTTTTATCTGTACAGCATTTTCCATCTGCTGGACACCGCAAACACAAGCGAACGGTCGCTTTGGTAACTTTCATTTAGAGTCACCCAACTGACGGATGTTCAGAGACTCACAAAAATGGTCAGTTCGTATGGAAGGCCCAAATTTCTGCCAGACTGGAAAGACGCTAGACGATTTGTTACAATTCCTGTATGGATATACTTGCTGGTGTAACAGAAGCATAAATTCACTAGTTCATCCGCCTGATCATGTCTGTATAATATGCGTTTTTCAAACAACGCACGAGGGTTGCTTCACCTAGGCGGTGGATAAATAGTTTCTGTTGCCGAATTATCTCATCTGATCCAGTTAGTGAAGATTACCGGGCTCCGTTCTTTCTACGTTGCATTACACGGTATTTGCGTATTGACTTGCGTGCTCTGATGAAGACTTTAAACGCCCATTTATAACGGCTGACACGCTAGACAATCTGATCCCCGGAAGCGCTCTGCATCTCCCGTTTACAGTGGATTAAGTGTAACGAGCAGAAAACTGCGACGCTCGACTAATCATCATCATCATCATCATCATCATCATCATCATCATCATCATCATCATCATCATCACCAACATCATCACCATCATCATCATCATCATCATCATCATCATCATCATCAACAACATGAAGATGGCTCATTGTCCTCACACAGCTCTCTACAGCTTCAGACGAGCTGATCCAGGCAGCTTCCTTCCCAACCCGAAAACTGCTACTTGGAACAAGGCTGAAGCCGGCTCACCTTGATCCAGGTAACAACGATATGAGTGTGCGGGGTCCATGGTATCACGGGTTGTTAAGTAAAACAAGCTGAGTTCCACGTACACCACACAAGATTGTGGATGAAAACTTTTTTCTTCCCACATCTAGACAAATTTTACTTGGCTACACGTGATCTCCAACCTCAGAGATGTTTTTGAACAATTCCGATTACCACAACACAACTCCGTCACCGTAGCTTTGTTGGATAATATCTGAAGGTGTTGAGACGCTAATGCTGGCTGTGTTATTGATTTGTTGAATAAACTGAAAAGTTACGATATTCTAGAATGTAAATTACAGAAGAGAAGCTTATGGGTAGGGTGGTCACATAATCTCCTTGTAAATGCCCCTATCCTCCCAAACACTAAAAGCCAGGGTCTGAATACGACTAGTAACCTGATCAGGCCAACCTACAAGACAGTTTCCGTGATCTGAAATGCAAAACAAAACCTAATCAAGTCTCTAGCCCCAGATTTCGTAATTCAGTTGAAAGCAGAACACATCTACGCCCTTGCCCATCAAGGAATCCCTTGGAAGTTTGTGAACACAATACGTTCTCTGTATTCACAGACTAGTGAGAGTATACGGGGGCGAGCTCTCAAAAAACTCCCGTACACGAAGCGGCATTTGTCAGGGGTGCCCACTCTCTCCATTCCTATTTAACATCGTGATCGATCGAACAGTCGAGAACCAATCTGAGACGGCCCGCGCAGCAACCTAAGGCGGCGGAATTCAGACACCGCATATACTGCCCGTCCACAGTGGCCTCCAAACTAAGAGATCTTACCGTGAGAATGCCACAACCTAGAGGAACAGCTTAGCGAACATCCACGAGGTTGCATTACAGGACGTTTTCTACGTTGTATTTCGCGACATTCACGTACTGACTTGCGTACATCTTAATCTGCGTGCCCTGATGAAGACTTTAAAAGCCCACTTATAACGGTTGGCACGCCAGACAATCTGATCTCCGGAAGGTTCTGCATGTGTCACCGATCTCATTTACAGTGAATCACATGTAACGAGCAGAAAACTGATACGCTCGACCAATCATCACCATCATCATCATCATCGTCTTCATCATCACATTCATCATCATCATCATCACCCTAATCGTCATAAACATCATGGCTCATTGTCCTCACACAGGTCTCTACAACTTCAGACGAGCTGATCCAGGCAGCTTCCC